ATGTGAAGGCAAAGTTAGAGGATCTATATTCCTATTACAAGACTAACAATATACCTTTTCCCGAAACAGAAAATTGGCAAAGCTTTTATAGTAAAGAAACACAGCCACTACCTCAAATATGAATGAGCCTTATTTGTTATGTGGACAATTAGGAGTCAAATTATTCATTTCAAAATATTTTAAATAAAAAGGCTTAGAGAGTGCATGAGATTTTTCCATATTCCTATAATAATGTTTATTCCACACAATAATAAAAGCCAGATTAGGAGCTTCCTTAACTGAAGATGGGGCTAAAGGCTAAATTATGACTAGGCCATGTGACAGAATGATGGTTAGCAACCAGTACATGATTTTCTGGTATGTGCTGTTAGAGGAGTTGTAAGCAATTACTAATTTTACTCCACTGGCTATGTGCCTATGCCCAAACCACCCCTATATTTTCAGATTTTGACCTTATTTTGGAAGCCCAGAATAGAGAAATTTCTCAACATATAAAAAAGGGGGAGGCAGGAAAGGAAAACATTTGTACAAAATTAGGCAATTTATGACTTGAATCTAGGCATAATTCTTTGATCTCAATGTGTTATCCTGTACTTTCATTTACTAACTGTTGTTCTGAAAATAAAAACCAAGCTATATAAATTAAAGATGACTATGAATATTCTTCTCATCTTCTAAGATCTTAGCAGTCACTCTATTGGAGTAGAAAATCTACCAATGTGATGGCATGATTTTTATTTAATATGAAAGGATCAAAAAAACCCACTATCAAAACAATAGAAGTAGGTTTGAGACTGCACTTTCTCAAGCACTACCTGTTTAATCAGATAGAATCACTGATCAGGCATGCTTTTCCAAAGAACTGAGAAGCTATTAAGGTACCCTTATCACCTAAAGAGATTTTGTCCCAATAATAGGTTCAACCTTTTCACATAGGGGATGGATAAGATACTTAATTTTAATAATCAATTATAACCTAGTTATTATGTCTTTGTACATTAACTTCTAGACATACTATACTTGGCCGTAAGTTCACTAAAATTTTGTTTCTTTTTAGAAACTGGTCTGGCTGGGTATAGGTGTAGAGTTAGGCAGAGTAAGTCTCTTCAAGGAGGAGGGGTAAGCAAATTTTTTCTGTGAAGGGCCAGAGAGTAAAAAATATTTTAGTCTTTGTGGGCCTTACATTCTCTGTTGTAACTCCTCAACTCTGCCATCATTGTAGCTCCAAAGCAACCAGACAAAAGTAAATGAATGGGCATTGCTGTGTTCTAATAAAACCTTGTTTATAAAAAAAGGAGGTTTAGCCTGTGGGCCAGTTTGCTGACCTCTGTCTTCTAGTACTACTCTGGCTTTTTTTTCATGCTTTGGAGATTTTGCCCATTCTTTGACAGGTATCAAAAGCATTTACCAAAGATGAAGAATTTCAGCCTTGATTTCATCATAAAAGGATTTGAGAGTGGTGGTATTTAGGGAGTGTACCCTTACTCAGGCTACTTCACAAGATTGTTTAAGAGTCAAACGGATTGAAACCAAATCGAACCAATTCAGAACATCCCGGGGTCAATTTTAGAACAATACATAGTATACTGTCTTACTAATAATTCCTTGCTTATTACAGTGCATAAATCTGAATGGCTACATAGTGTAAATTAATCCAACCTCCCTAACTGAGCTTCCATAATTTCACTCCCTTTAAAATAATTTCTATTTCATTCCATATACAAGCTATTAATTCCAGCTTTGAGATTACCTGCTAGAAAAGATTGCATTATGATGTTTAGTCCTATTAACTAAAATAGGCTCTATTTCTATTTGTTAAAATATCGCATATATTTTTGTTCCTTTGGGAGCACAGTAGCCCTTTAATCCTTTACGAAAGGAAGAGATGGCAATATAAAAACGTTTGAAGAGGAGGGATAGAACTTACATTACACTTCACACCTCTCTTCACACTCCCACCCAGATCAGTACGTTCACTCTTAGAATTGAAGGGAAGAAATGCCGAACAGAAAATAAAACACAAAAGATAGTGTTCCATATATTAAAGACTGCCCCCCCCCCCCATATGAGAGTCTTCCTCCTTCCTAATCCTGACCCCCAGGCAGCTCTGAGGTAGAACTTTTTTATGGCTCTTAGGGTGTAGAGACGCAGAGGAGTTGGGGCAGGTTGCAAGTGAAAAAAAAGGAAAGAAGTACTTGCTCTTTCTTAATTACTTCCAGTACAATTAAATTTTGAATATTCCTAAGGTATATTTCATATACTAGTATCTAGAAACAGCCTGATGTGAAGTTCTTATTGACATTATTAAGGAAATTAAAATATATAAAGTCATTTTGGTAGTAATTTGGTTTGACTGCAGTCCAGTGGGAAATCTTTTAAATGAAAACAGCTCCTCTGTGCCTGGGCTTAAAGATGAGTCTAAGGTGGCAAGTAAGAAAAATATAGTTCTTCCCCAAGTGGACTACAAAGTCAAAATGTCTTATGAAAAATTAATGCTGCTCACCGACTACTGCAGTGGTGGAGAGCAATGTCTTATTTTTGGTACAAACTGTATCAACTTATTGTGACACATCCCATATGAGCAGATCAGATATGTGTAAGACTTTTTTTTTAAGAAAGGAAAAATGACTAAATAAAATTAACAAATGCAGCTCCTTTGATGGACCAAACCTTAAACATGAAGCCCATAAAAGGGGGATCTTGGAAGTTAAAAAATTATCAGTGTGATAATGGCACTGTATCTAGCACAGAAGGGGGAAAAAATGAGTAGAAAATAGGAAGAGAGCCAGGCTACTTCTAGTCTTTTCTGAGTCATTCCTTTGGTATGTGTGTGGGTTTGTTTTTTTTTTTAATGTTTTATTACGTACTGTGTCAAAGTACTTTCAAATTCACATAACCTTCTCAATAGGTATTTATAATAGGTACACTTTTCATTTGATTATCAAAATTGAAATTTTAATTTTTTTTTTAACGTTTATTTATTTTTTTGAGACAGAGAGAGACAGAGCATGAACGAGGGAGGGTCAGAGAGAGGGAGACACAGAATCCGAAACAGGCTCCAGGCTCTGAGCTGTCAGCACAGAGCCCGACGCGGGGCTCGAACTCACGGACCGCGAGATCATGACCTGAGCCGAAGTCGGCCGCCCAACCGACTGAGCCACCCAGGAGCCCCCAAAATTGAAATTTTAAAAGCAGACTCTGACTATTCACAGAGAACCAACTAAAAAATTACTAACGCCATATAACTTGAGAGGAAAATTCAGGCGTTATCCCTCCACACTAAGCCAAATAAGTATGACAGGTCAGTTCCGAATTACAGAAAGCTTCTGTAGAAGCCTTAGGACCATGTGAGAGTCTTCTTTCTTCCAAAGCTGACAGGCAATCCTCAAGTAGAGGAAATCTTATAGATCTCTATCCTCTGGGAGCCATGAAGAGCAGTAATAAGTTTCTATCTGAAAGAAGAAAATTTTGCTTTTTCTTAATATCATAATCATAGTCTACCATTATTAAACTGAGAAAAAAGATGATAAACAACAGGACTTTCTGACACCTAGTTCCTGAGAACTTCCTAGGTCCTGGTATTATGTTGGAGTATGCCAAATCACATTAAGAATAAACCACTAGGGTTAAAAGATGAAAGTGTATAAAAGGAAAAGATCCTAAATTAAATATGCTCCGTAGTTTCAAAAATACCTAAAAAGCACAGTGAAACAAGGCAGTCTACAGACGTGAAAACAGGTACTGAAGTTCTAACCATCCCCCTCTCTTCTCAGTTGCTAGCCGCAACCTTCAGAAAGTTATTCAGCTTTAGTGTCTGAGTTTTGAGCTTCTATATCCTATAATTTTTTCATTAAGAAAACTAAAGAACCAAGAGATTTAGTCAAGCATGGGAAAAAAACAGATTCCAAAAAGGAAGTTAAATTCAGACAATGTGAAATACAAAACTGGAAATACTACTTAAGAATATAGAATACTTGTTTCTGTCATCAGCGGTGGCAGAAAGATTTAGCTTGTTTGTTTTCGAAGTGCACATACTCATGACCACATGAAAAGAAAGTGAAGCACTGGCACGCGGTTATAAAATGTATCAAAAGGCACTATTATTATGGTCTATCCTCCATGGCTCAAGGGAGATTTCAGGGGTCAAGGAAAACCCTTTTTACTCATTTTGGTCCTTATGACAGCTACGTAAGTATCATGATTATTGTGCACTTAGAGGATAAGCTAGCAGGTAAAGCTACTTTTGCTTCTTTGCATCCCATGTACTTTTCTCCCTCTCAGTCTCTCTGTACATACAAAAAAGAAGCCAAGTTTAAAGCGTCACAGACACTGTCAGCTGCTTTCCAAAGAGGTTTAGTAGTCCGGCATCTCAGAGGCCTCGTTTTGCCCTTCAGATAGCAAGAACCCAGAGAGGAAGACTGTTGCGGGGGAGAGAGAAAGGGTGTGTGACAGAGCGTGTGAGTGTGCCTGCACGGTCCAGGGAGGGAGAAGGAAAGCATTATATTCTCCGAAGACACACAGAAACGTTAGTAACGTGACTTCCATACACCAGTGTTAACAACAGCCTATCTGGTATTATTTACTTTCAACTGGGTCAGACATAAAACTAATAAACTGGGGTTGGAAATTATATACATAGGTATGGCAACCAGTTACAGATTTAGAGAGCAGAAAAATCGCCTTGCAAGTCACCTTCACTAGTGTTTATTAAACATTTTTCTTAAGCAAACCATAAACAGCAGCTTTACTTTAAAATTATGAAAATAAACAGTTAGAGTCTAGACAGTCTAAAAGGAAAACATTTATTAAGTAACCAGATTAGTATGGAAATGTGCTTTAAAGTTAAGAGATACAGGATTCAAAAATTTGACAAGTGTGCAAATCAAAATATAACTTTTCTGTGAGTTTTCAGTGCATAAAAAAAATCTAGGCTAATTATAGAGTTGATCAGTAAAACCCAATTAAAAACAGTTATACCATAGCAAACAGAAAGGAATTACCTCGTCTTCGCCCATAACTCCTTGCTGCATGTAAACAAAGGACAAATTGTAAAATGTCAGAACTAAAAACAAGCCCACACATACAAATATTTGTGATATGAAAAGCTAAGTGGGCATCTAGTAATTAGGACTACTTTGTTTTAAGAGCTAGGACAACGTCCCCATGTAATAGCTGCATGTGCTTTACCATTTACAAACCACTTTTATTATATATATATTCTGCACTGTACCATAAAATGAAATTAACAGGAAATATGCAATTTATTCTCATACATGCTCCAATTCATGAATAGATATTTCTTGCACCTGATCAAGATGGTAATATGTAACACCTTACAGTTAAATAGCATCCCAAGTAATAAATGCAAACAACTTGAATTAAATCCTCATTTTACTAATTATAAAGAGAGATATAGCAGATACAGTCCAACAAACAGCTATTCAAATCCAATTCACATTATATCAAGCCCTGTGCGGAGAAAGTACTGGAAGACACAGAGGTATGAAAAGACATAACAATGTTAAACTGATATTCTGAAGCCTGTAGAGCTTAGATAGAAGGTAAAGACATCAATCCATGTTCAAACTTGCTTAGTTGAAAAAATGATTAATGATACGCTACAGTTACCAATGCTTTCAATCCTTCTGGTACATTTTATAACCTCTATCTAAGTGCTTATGTCTCTCTCTCTCTGGGGTAAAAGGGATTCAGATACAAATTGTTCTTAGTATCATCATAGACTAGCACAGATATTGAATATTCAGAAGTATGAAGCAGAAAGACATTTCAAACTACCTTATTAGCAGTTTACATAATTCCATATGGAGAAAAAACACTGCAATTTATTCTCCATAATAAACTACCAGTTTGATAAAACCCACAACTTATTTTTAAATAACTCCTCCTTGCAAATCTGAGTACACAATGAGTATTTTTACCCTGGAATTAACATATGAAATCAAAGCAGTAAACTAAAACAAAAATCACTGTTAAAATCAAGATCTTAACCCATGTTTTATGAATTTTTTGTTTTGGCCTGGGAAAGTTTCTTTCTGAATAAATCTCAAATCGAAACATATGTTAAGAGTTGTAAGAAATGTAGTCTTCCCCAAAAGTATAAAGCAAAGACCAAAGGAAGACATTTCACATCATTAAATACATTCTACTACAGACGTTTTACAATGTAAGTCTTTAATATAAAGAAGTGTGCCCACAGGTGAAAATATAGGATTAATACCCCTACAGTAACCCTTAGTCATTACACTTTAAGTCAATAAATACAAGGCTTACAACAGAGTCTGTTATACACAATAACTTCATTTGCATCTCTGCCTCTCTATTGTCTTTATTTAGCTATAACTACTGCAGTTTTAACCTTTTTGGGAGCTCCAGCTACCACAGCCTAGCAGACTGTCTGACCTGTACATTAGTTTATATACAAGCTTACCTGTGTTTTTGTGTGTCTATCGAGCTTAGATGTACATTACCTGTATACATTACATATAGATTACCTGACATACATATTTGTTTAGGGAGAGGTAGGGGCAGAAATGACATTTAGAATTTTGCTGTGGAAATCCTGGAAGACTTATAAAGGCCTTAAAAACACAGGGTCTCAAAGAGATAGCGGATCAACTATGGAAAATCGAGTAGGAATTTTAAAAGAGCTGTCAAAAACAGACTATACAAGAGCGAATTCCCTGCAGTCTTAATCGTTGTATTAAGTGTGGAAATGGTCAATAGGCTCCCAAACGGTCACAGCACAAGTCTAAGAAGTTAGGCTTCCTACTTCTCTCCAGGCATGATCGAAATGATATTAATCCAGTATAGATTTGCTTTACGGAATTTCAGTCATGGGTGTAGAAGACGGATCATTTACAAAGCAAATAAAACTACTCTCATCAAGTTTAAAGTCAAGTTATGAATTATAAGGAAGTAATAACGTGGTCCACAATTCCTGACCTTTTGAGAAAATTAATGACACGACAACCAGTTTATATTCTTAGCTGTTATGTTCTTTGCTGAGGCTACTCAATGCTAAAATAGTCAAAATACGTACGAATGTTCATAGCATCTTAGGTCTCATCTCATTCCTAGGCTTGAACACATTATTTAGAAGAGTTCTCCAACTACCTCATACCTGAGGAATTTTAGAGTTCTGTAAAGAGCTATTGCACTTATTTTCTGGACAACTCTCAAATTCCAGCTCTCTACATTACCAAAAATAGAACTGCCTGCAGATGAAGCTAGATCATGTGAAACACTTCCTATCCCCTGTCATGGAAAGAACCAATCTGCTATCATCACACTAAACAATGGAGTACGGACTCATTTTCCTACCCGAGCTCTTCTCATGTGAATTTCTGTTCCACCATAACTCGGATTCAGAGTTATCAAAAGTTCCCAATGAGAAAAGAAAATCATTAAATTACTATTCATTAAGTTTTAATTAAGGAAGACTTCTTTAAACACTATGCCCCTCCAAACTCATTTAGAATAGGACTTAGGAAAAAAAAGTGAGCAATTTTTGTATAAAAACTATTTAGAACATTCAATTTCAGTTACCTAAGTTTTATAAAACTTATTACTAAAAATTACCACGCATTCAGAAGTGAGGAACTGGCTATTTAGCACACGTGTGTAAATATGTGTGTGTGTGTGTGTGTGTATGTATGTATGTTAGATTATATTTTTTTACATATATGTTTTATTTTATCATTATTTTTTAATGTTTATTTTAGTTTTGAGACAGAGCGTGAGGGGGGGAGGGGCAGAGAGAGAGGGAGACAGAATCTGAAGCAGGCTCCAGGCTCTGAGCTCTCAGCACAGAGCCCGACGTGGGGGTTGAACCCACAGACCGGGCCGTGAGATCATGACCTGAGCTGAAGCTGGACTGAGGCACCCAGGTGCCCCTCCATATACATTTTTTTTTTTAATTTTTTTTTTCAACGTTTTTTATTTATTTTTGGGACAGAGAGAGACAGAGCATGAACGGGGGAGGGGCAGAGAGAGAGGGAGACACAGAATCGGAAACAGGCTCCAGGCTCCCAGCCATCAGCCCAGAGCCTGACGCGGGGCTCGAACTCACGGACCGCGAGATCGTGACCTGGCTGAAGTCGGATGCTTAACCGACTGTGCCACCCAGGCGCCCCTACATTTTTTAAGATAATAATAATAAGGCTTTGAAAAAAAAATTTGTTTTCCTACAAGAGTGAGTTTAAAATTTGGTCCTGAGTTATCAATAATCTCATTTAGGTTCTAACCCATTGCTACCAAAAAAGAAAAAGGATGATTCTGACATTATCTTCAGTGTCTCTGTGCCCTTACATATTGGCTCTTAGCAATGGCTGTGGTACCTGATTTACTGCAGCTGGAGTAACAGATAAGGAAACATAACAAATTAGCCAGAAATATTTAGGTTAAAGTTCTCTTGGTGTGAAACTAAAGAAATTCTTATTTCTTGCTCTGAAAAGCCAAAACCAGGGAGAGAAATATACCCGCAAATTATCCTTTTCAAGATCTAAAATAAATCTGTTATCTACTCTACTTATTTCCATTAGCATAAAAAAGAATTGATTACGTACTCAAATTTCATATTTTCAGGACTTAATACAGTACATTTAGAGACTCTGCCCTCAGAAATACAATTTCACTAAGTTTTCTTAATTAAAAGATAAACATAACCTCTCTCCTTCCAAACAGTAGAGCAAGCCCTTGATTACAAACATAGATGTATATGGCTAATGACAGCAAATTTAAATTTCAAACTAGCTTGCATCCCCCTGTACTTCTGCTATCTGTCTCCCTTTTGAAAAGCCATATGTACTAATAAAAATATAAGCTATTTTTCCTTGGGAGAGGGGTGAGGGGAGCACAACATGATCCAAACAGAAACAAGTACCTGAATGATACATCATTTTGCATTGGTCCTCACTACTATGGAAAACAGGGTGGTTTTATTTTGTTTTTTCCTACTAAGAATAAAATATGTGAGATTTATACACTTGGAAGTACAACATTCAAGCCGTCATTCTAAATTCAGATAGTGCTTGCATTTTGGTTTTTAGACAATCTACCCATTCCTATATAATATTACTTCCCTAAAGTGCTTCTGGATGTTAGGTTTGGACCCCTCTACAATATTTATTAAATTGTAGCAGTCTCCACCAGTCAATTCAACTTGATTTCTAGTTAGATGGAGGAACATGGTCTGTTCAGGAGCCTACCTGCAGTTATATTTCTATGGCATTTTTTTATTGTTAAATTTTGTCTATACAACTTCAAGAGACATATGGATATGGGATACTATCTCTTTTTCTGAGTTAAGAGAGGTTGAAATATAAGGATCTGTTAGAGGTATTTCACAGTTTTACCTAGTCTGACCAACTTCCTGACCTTTACCCCATTCCCTGTTTATCCGTTAAAGGAATATTTCACAGTTTAACTATAATGTTAATTGACCAGGAAGGCAGACTCATGAAAGCTTTTTACAACATTTGCCTTATCTGCATAACAACTACACTAGTATTTATAATATTATTTTTATTAAATGGACTCAAGCCTAGCACCTAATAATAGCCTAGTAACATCATAGATTTCTTCCAGTTCTGTATTTTCTAAGGAATGTTCTCAAATTGTTATAGTCATGCATTTATTATAATATGTATTTGTGCGCCACCAAAGATTGTCTTGGGTACCACATGGGACATGTGCACCACTCCTTAGGGAGCACTGGGAGAGAGTCATTTTGCTTTTGACCCACATTCTGTTCCTATATAGCTTCTTCCAAATGGGTCTGGTTTGACTTTCTGCAGTAACATAAGACAAACCTTCTTTGGTCACTACATATACGTTGAACATCCTTCAAATACTTGAAAACATTGGCTATGTCTTCTTTCAATTTATATTCTCCAACAATTTATGTATTCACAAGACAGGATTAATACTCTTTCAAAGTCATTTTGTCACTGTTCACCATCACCCACTGTCACAGCTAACTCTCACTTTTAGAAACTGTTCTAAACACTTTACATGAATGAATTCCCTCACTTCTCAAAAAACAATCCCCTGAAGCAGGCAGCATTTTATCTCCTTTTGACATAAAGAATCTGAGTCTAACTGAAGTTAGATGAACTGTCCAAGGTCATAGCAAAATTAGGGTTAAATCCAGATAATCTAGCTCCAGAGTCTGTGGTACCAACTACTGTTAACTATTGTTAACCCCACCACCACCACACACACACACACACACAAAACCACTGACTTATAATTTATTGCCAAATACTGATTTTCAAAGTCAATAATATTAGCTACGCTTATTGGTTAAGTAATACAACTTACTTAAGTTGCTAATGATGAGTTCAAATCTGTGACAAAATTTAAAAAGTAGGTCTGTGTATTGAGATGCTACAATTCCTTTAATCAATAATATTTAATAATAATTTAGTACAGGCAGAGGCTTGGTATTGACATCACTTAATTCCCATATTTCCTAGGGAGACAATATGCTAAGAATATAGTTGAACTGTAAGAATTAAAAGCAGCTCAAGGAAAATTTCCCCTTACTCCTTCTTGCCATTTGCCCACTTCTCTCTTCAATGACCTTGATGTCTACAAAAAATTACTTAAATTCTTAATATTCAAATACTTCCCGATCATAATAAATATACCCAATTTCTTGACCTCTGTTCCCCTCTTAACAATGCTCCCAAATGAGCAAAATAATTTTTTTTCTCTCTGGATCAAATTGTCCCTACTGACCTAAACACATTTTGATGTTCTAGTTTCATTATCTCTTCTGTCCCCTACTCCCTTGCCAGAAGAAGTTCAGAATGTCCAGGACAGCTCACTGTATCGAGCACGTAACATGGCTCTGAAGTGGCAGGCTATGAAGAGTGCTCACATAATGAAAAAGCAGATTTGTCCACAAGGTTCAACTCTTGCCTGAAATAAAATATTCTTGTGTCTACTAGGTGATAAAACACTGATAACCTAACATCTAGGTTACTTATGAAGGCTTCAGGCAACTGATGAACTCAATTAGCTTAATAATATTTCGTGTAAAAACAGTGTGGCTCCTAAGCTCTTTGCTCATACATAACTTATGTATTCTATTGTGGTTGCAACATACTTCTGAATCGTGCTAGTGTGGTAGGCACACAGCAATCCCAGATCATCTGTGAATCATCTAACAAACTGTCTCATACAGCACCTTCCTTCAAATGGATCTTAACAGAGTATGTGAAATATTCACAAATTCAAGTTTTTCTACTGACTTGTTTTTAGAAGTTAAAATGGAAATGATCTTTATCACACAGAACGTCCCAAAAGCAAATTATTTGAGGAAGTCAGGATAAATACATAAAGAGCTTGCTGCTTAATCCCATCGTTATTTTATAAATCAAGTTATGAGGATAATACAAAATTATGATCTATTTTCAGTTTGTAAACTCAATTTCATCAATGTAAGTTTTAGTCACAGATACAGAGTTTAGAGACCAGCTACTCAAGTGACGTGTTGTTTTAATTCCATGGTAGAAAAAAAGTTGACTGAAGAAGTCCTGGAATGCGATTTCTAGTGCCCTTCTGGTCAAAGTCTATGTAAGCACCATAATTCACTGAATTCATGAATGCGGCCTGCTGTACTGCTGTAAGGTCCAGCCCAGACACGGCCTCAGCTAGAGAGCACAATTAGGCCCCAGTGTTAGGACCTTGCCAATTTGACCTCTAACCATCCTTCAAGATCCTAACACATACCCCAGGGCTCAGATTACGCTGGCACGTGGTGGGCAACTCAATATATAACAATCTAAAATTGAATGAAGCAATCAATCGCACCACAGACATCCTGCTTCTTCAATTTTTCTCTCATTCCAAAATCCTATCTGACACCTTGCCAATCTCCCAGGAAGCCTGGACTTTATTCCCACCCCTCTGTCACTAGAGTCTTTATTACTTAGTATAAGTTCACAAGGTCTAGCTTTACACTGGCCTTTTTTCAACCTTTGTTCCCCAACCTCCCTATCATCTGTTTTCAACAGAGCTTTAGTTGAAATAGAAGAGCCAAGTCATTCTAATGATATAATTATGTATTTTTTAAGTACTATGTCTATTCTTCCTTCTTTCTACCTCTCTCTCTTTGTCCACCCTCTGATTTAAAAATACCTGTATGAAGGATATTTTCACCTTCCATGTCTACTCCCACAGTCACGGGTGTACTAAGTACTGGGACTTGAAAACAATGTTTGTCCAACAGAAGAACAAACTTTAATAAAGTTTATTTATCCTGTTTCTAACTCTGGTGAAGTTCACTGTGTAAACTTTCTAGTTAGAATAAATTAAGTTAGCGTGATCACCATATTTACAGAGTCACAAGTATATTCATTCCTTAGTTAACAAAAGCACAAGTGCTATACTAAGTAACAAGTTCTACGCACTTTGCAAACATCATCTCATTTAATTCTCATAATAATCCTTGAGATTGTTATTCCCATTTCATAGATGGGAAATGAAGGCTCACAGAAGTTTCTAAACAAAGTCATACCAAAAACTAGAAAGCCAATATTCAAACTCAGGATGATCTCCAAAATCTGTGATCAATGAATTAAATCATACTGTCACAAATACATTGCAATAATTGCTTTGACAGCTAGAATTTATATGCCAGAGATCAGAAATAGGCATATTCCAAACTCCTAATTCTGCTTTCTGTACAGGAAACGCTGTAGCTTTATCTTTATACCTATAAAATATTTAACTTCTATGTATATGCAAGGTATAGAGAACCATGTACTCAATTATATTTATTTATAAAAGTCAACTGGAAACATAAAATGTTTGTATACAACTTACCATTTAACATCAACAGATTATCAGTTCCTGGATGTGGATAGCTCAGTCGACCTTTAAAAAGACACGAAAGGGAAGTTTTAAGATTATGGAGCTATTTGAAAGGCCAAAAAAAAAAAAAAAAAAAAGGGGGAAAATGAATAAGGAGGAAATTACTGAAGACAGTATATTTCTTAAATAAAAAGCTAATGTTTAACTCGAAGCATATTAACCAAAATCATCTTTTGAGATTTGAAACCAAAACATAAAAGAGTTAACCTTAGTTCCCAGATCATATGAGGACAATGTGATTTCAGAGCAATGCCTAGAGAATAAGGCCTACTTGTTTTTTGAAATGTAAGAACAATATGGGTATCCTAGTCCTTCACACTTAATATAGGATATAAACATTTTTAAATATTTTCAAAACTGTTTATAATTCTCTTCACAGCTTTCTTTTTCAAAAAATAAAACCGGAAGGAATTATATTCCTAACTAAAAAACCACCTAAATATTAAAATAAAAGATGAGTAGCAAAAACTCATCACAACTTGCCATTTAATTCAACAGTTTTATATATAGCTGTATGTAAATAAGGAAGTTTGATAAAAACATCTTAAACATATTATAAATGATATTGCAAGTTTAACCTGTTCAAAGTTTACAACTGATATAATAAAAATATAAAAAATGAAAATACTAAGGTTTAAGAGCATAGTAGCCTCCTATTTCCTTTGAGTCATTCCTCATACGAGAGCTCTGCACTTGATACATGCGGAAAGGATGACAGGACCGTAGACCACTGTGGCAAAGAAAAAAGGTATGCAGGGACACTCTGCGGTTTATTCAGCATTTCTACATCGTAACACTTGTTTGACTAAATGCCAACATTAAGGATGATCGTTGTTTAGAGTCCATTAAAATACTTTCCTCTAATAGAGGACTTTCCTCTAATGCCTGAATCTCTGATGGACTATTAGAAAGGTTCATTAAAATCCACTGAGAAAGTTACTAGAATGAAATGTCTGTGCGATGGCACGTCAGCAGTTTTCAGTGCAGCCCCTTTGCAGACCCTGTGATGGTGCAGGATGCACAGCCGTCAGAAGAGTGACCAGGAACTCTCCGCATGAATCTGACATGATTAGTAAGGAGCACAGATTAACTGTGTCTAGCTTTACCACCTCAGCAAGCACCCTACACACTCTGAGGCCCTGTATTACGCCCACACATCCCATACAAAACAGAGGCTTTTGTTTTAATTATGAAACTAAAGAACTTGATCACCTGCCAGTGGGGGAGATAATTCAATTTTAACATTAAAATATACATATTAGACATATACTTATAGATAGACATGTACACCTATGCATATACACACACTTCATCTGGGCTCTAATTTAACCACAGCAGATTCTGTTTTTAGACTCAACAGGTGAAACAAATGTTACTGTCCTTCAAAAGACAATGCACTCTTATTTACTTCTGCATTTCACATGACACCAGCTAAACTGATAAAGCAGCCATACTCTAAAAACACACAATAAGTCTATTGTTGTTAATATTTTGGTACGGAGTGAGAAATAAGACAGTACGTACAAAAGGTACCAAATACAGAGTTAGAAAGCAGAACTTTCCTAAACTGGATTTCAATATCACGGAGCGTTACTTTGCCTCAAGCATCGTAGCTTACTTTGGAAATATGCCTATTTCTAAACATCTTGTTGCACATGACCAAATTTAGAGAATAATTTAAGGCCATGAAAAAATGCGGTTATTTCTGACTTGAGATGAAAATCACAACCCCTACAAAAGTGGTAACCCGTACTGCTGTTCACTGTAACAAACTCATTGTCTTGTATACCTACAAGTGTATAGGATGCAGAATATACAAATAAGAATGAGTCTCTGTTTATGATGTAGTATGAAAGACAGAGAGAAACAACTTCAATAAAGCCTGCCAAGTGTTAAAAGAATTATGTATAGCACGCTGTATGAAGAACACAAGGAATATTTAACCAAGGCCATAGATTCAGGGAAGACCTCCTCGAAAAGTAAACTGCACAAAGCTTTAAGCCTGGTTCCACTTCAAAAGACACTCAACGTTGAATCGCCACATAACTATCCTGTAACAGGTTGATTGTTCACTTTACTTATCCCAAGACACAAGTATATTTTCATTGCTAATAGTCTTTTGACTTCTTGGCTCTGAATGGACTTAAAAGGCACACCTTACACAAAAACTTCAAAAGACAGATACCTATTTGCAGAATGTGTATTTGTATACATGTTCTACAATACAGTACTCCAAACAGGAAAATCTCTCAATATAATTAGCCAAACACACCAAAATGAAATAAACAAATCAGACTTGTTTTTAAATTATCTGGTCCCTTTTCCTCAATCACAGCAAAATATCAATACATCTTTACAAGTTAAATTTATAGATAATTTACTTTTACCTGGGATACCATTAAAATAACTTCCACTAAGAACATGCCAATTTATAGTAATAGCTAAAATTTGAGGGCTCGCTCCATGCCAGGAGCTTTTCTAAGTTTTTTTCAACCAATCGTTTAATCCTATGATGATGTGTGATTTAGGTACTACTATCTTCTCCTCTGAAGATAAAGACCCTGTGCAAGGTTAAAAAACTTGCTCAAGGTTACACCACTGGCAGATATGATCCTAGACAGCGTGGCTCCATACTCTTAATCACTATCTTGTAATGACTTCCTAGTTGATAAAATATAGAGAAAGATAGGTATGGTTGGATATAGGGCAAATTCCTATGCTAAATCCATTACAAAATTCATGGGATGATTATGAAGTATGTATTAGGTAACTTATACGTTAACACAGAAAAAACACACATTGGTATAAAATTGGTTCCTCCCTATTGTGTAAAAAGCCCAGTGGCGCAGAGATTGCTAGCTGCACACTGACACCTATACCTGTCAATAATGGGAACCCCAAATCCTAGATAAGCACAGAAGTGCCCAGAGTTACTCCCTTGTAGCTAACGTGTGCCCACGTGAGTAAGATCTGGCCAATGGGATGTAAAACAAAATTGTTATGTGCAGTTTCTGGGAAGTATCCTGGAAGGGAAGATCTTCTCTTTCCTTTACCTTCTTCCTGCTTGCTGGGATGCAGATGTGATGGCTAAACTGAATCAGCCATATTAGCTTGAGGCCGAAGCTGGGTGGTAAGGACAGCAGAACAAAAAGACAGGCGCCTAGATCCATGAACAACACTACCCTACTTCTAGGTGTGGTATTCTTTTGGAAGAGGAAAATACTTCTGTCTTGTTTAAGCTGCTCTGTGTTTTCTGTTGTCCCAGAAGAACCTAACCTTACAAATAAAGCCCTCTAGTACAAATTTGTGCAAACTGAATTTTAGGGAACCAGGTTATACTTTATTATTGTGAAAATATGATAAAGCATAATAATTTCATTGTAGTTTTAATATGGCTACAATTAATGGGTATCTACTGCCTCTTGGCACTTCTTTTACATTAAGATACTATGAAATTTAAAATAAATAACTTTCAAAAATATGTATTTATTCTTAGCTATCAGTGAATAATTAGAGGAGCTACAGTATCTTTAAAATTATCTTACTAGTCTATTGTCATTTTAATTATCTGTATAACACGTATAAACAAGGCAATACACGTTGGCCATTTTAGATGTATATTCAAGCAGCCAAAACACAGAAGTATGACAACTGCATACAATTCATCACATATAGACAAATCACCAATTACTAAAATTTGAAACAATGCTGTATTTAAAGACATGCAGTAAACTAAGCCAGCATTAAAAACGATTTCATACACATTTAAGTTCTTTCACCAAACTACCTACTTAGTCTCAATAAAATGCACTTAAAAATAGAGATGATAAAAAATGACATGTCACTTCTCAGATTTAAACATACTTTTAAAATTACAGAAATGTGAATTAGAAAGGATAAAATGCAGCAGTTTCCCAACATCTCTTAATGTTTGTGTAGCCTTAAGCTGAAAGTCCCAAAATAACCTCCAGCAACCCATTTGCTGAAGCATCGTATTTCCCTTCCCAGATATCATACTCTCTTGGTTTCCTCTCACTAGCTATTCCTTAAATACTCTCTGCTGTGTCTTCCTCCTCAGCTTTGCAAAATGCTGAAGCCCCAGTGTTCAGTCCTGGGACTTCTCTTTCCACACGGCCTCCCTAGGTGATACCATCTACTACCCAAGCTCCATGCATCATCTCTGAGCAGATGACTCCACTTGTATCTCTAACTGCAACCTCTATATCTCAATCCCATACTTCCCCAGATTAGCACAGAGCACCGTCTTCCTTCCATATGGATGCTCATCCCCAAACCCTGGGTTGCCTCCACACCTCACAGTGTGTAATCTGTGTACAAATCTGCCAACAAATCCTCACTGCTCGATTTATAAACACAGACCTAGATCTGATTGCTCTTCACAAGCTCCTTCATGGTTTCCCCGGCCCAAGCCATCTCCATCTCTTCACAGACTACTAGAATAACCTGACAGTCTAGTCTCCATTCGGCAGCCTGAGAGATCCTTTTCAAGCCTCCATCAGCTCAGGTTTCTCTATTACTCAAAACCCTCCCAGGCTTAGAATAAATATCTGGCCTCTCATCCCCTACCATTCTAACCACGTTGGCCTCTTTGCTGTTCCTCAAACATGCCAGGCATACTGCCATTTCAGGATCTGTAGATTTCCTCTTCTATTTAAAATGCATTTGTCCAGATATGACCAAAGCCTATACCTCTCACTTCATTCAGGTGTTTAAAAGATGCCATCAGAGACCATCCTAAAATAGCAGTTTCTTTCTCTATCTGTATTTTTTTTCTTCATAGCATTGACTCTTATTATCTCCACCCTTCATTAAAACAGAAGACTCATGAGGGCAGGACTCTTGTCTTTTTTATTCTCTACTGTATCTCTACCATCTAAAACAGAGCCTAGTAGAGGTGCCTGGGTGGCTAGTCGGTTAAGTGTCTGACTTCGGCTCAGGTCATGATCTTGTGGTTTGTGAGTTCAAGCCCTTGTTGGGCTCTG